TAAATTTTTCCCCATATCCAGCGGAGATTTTCCATGTTGTTAGGTGCTTTTAACCGAATTATCTTTTGCACGTCTGTTGACTTCTTTGATCAAACAAGACAAATGGTATTACGCTTGTGTATACCGCATGCCAGTAGTTTAGACTATTCCTTTATTCATCGATGCCCTAAGCTTGCAGGAAGTCTTTTCCTACGTATGAATGCAATCTCAGAGTGTTATTTTCACACGTCCACGCATATCTCGAGATGTTTCGATATTTTTAGGGGACGAAAGTCGTGTGATTGTCCCATTGTGCAAGAAATCTCAACGCACTCGCTCGGTGCGCTTAATTCTAACTTTGGATCATTCACTAACTCTTTTAAATAATCGTTGATTTTTAGTCGGAAGGCTTTCACCAGCTTACAATGATCTTTTGATGTTGACTTTCAACTCGCAGACCCTTATAGCGTGATCGCTTGATTAATTTTTAGTGTCTGATGGCACACTTCTCTGCCTTAATGCTACTTCGGGCATTGCTATTCATCAGTCTTTCTAGCTTGTCGACCATTCAATTACTGGTCCACAGTGTGAAGTACACTTAACACCTTGATGTAGTGCGTTAGGCAACGTATTACTCAGCATTACTCATGGAACCCGTGGCAGTGGTTCGCCAACTTGTTTCATTGCTTCTAATCTTAGAGACACCATGATGCTCTGAAATGCGTTCATCCCTGAATGCTGTTTATCGAAAATCATGGGTCAAGATTTTCCTGCCATCAAACATTTCTGTACTTCCTCAAAGAGAATTCACTGCAATACGATTCGCGTCTATCTGTTTTACTCAAGTTCACCTATGTGTCTCCTTCTTTCCACCAAGACACTTACTTGAGATTGGCAATCCATCTGGTCCTCCTTGTCACCTTTATGTTTTGTGGTACCGATTCACCGTTACCGACAAACTGAAGTTGCTGTTACGCTTCTACCGTGATTTGTAGCATTGAATTCAAGTCCTTCAATGTTGCTACCTTTTGCTTATCTTCGCCTTTTTGTCATGGGCTGAACCCTCTCGATATATTCACGTGGTCATCTTTAGCGAAAAATCTATCGGTCAATTTCAATCACTTCAAGGGATAAATTTTCATGCATGGCAACGACTTATCTGCATTTTGAATATAGTTATCCCCTCCTGATACATCTTGTTGTGCGTATTTCATACAAATTCACTTTTATTACTCTAAAAAGGCAAAAGTTCTATTTGGTCGACGTTCTAAAATGCAGTAAACATCTATTTTTACCTGTTGAAGTGTCGTGATATTCACTTGGAGTGCGCAACAATAAGTGTTTTACAACCGCTTAAAGTTAAGTAAATGAATCAGAATAGTTGCCTGTCTGTGGCCTGTACCGACGCTCATCCAACTGAGGCTCATGAATGGCTACGACAGTCTCTAACTTCCGTTGCACACTTTCTCTCTCCCTTTTTAGTTCTCTACGATAAGAAGCTGCAACAAATGGAAGGGAGCCTTGAGGATCCCGAGACTCTGCGACGCCTTCTAAATGACGTAAGTGGGCAAACCATCTTTAAGTCGTCCGTTGTATGACCCGGGGATTCTTTCCTTTGTCACTCGCAACATCCTTCTTCACTCGCTTTTACGCTATCCATGAACTCATGCTTTTTTTGCTAAATAGCGGTAATCTTTGCCGCTGAAATCAATTCATTCTCAAGTTATTCCCAATTAGAGTCAAATTTCTGGATTTCATAAATTTGGTAGGATAAATTCCAATTGCTAGTGCCTTTTTTCATTGAACTAACTTTCGTTTTTTTCTTGTTCTTGGTCAATTTCAGTAGTCCTTGTTTCCACTCCTACCCTCATGCGTTTGTTTTGCCATCGTTGGGAGTACCCGATTCCTTTTGGAATGTGCCCTCAGAGGTGTGGCATTCCTCGTAGTTTGAGTATGCCGTTTGCTATTCGTACTTACTTGCGTGCAGGGTGGTCGGAGGTTCACTATTGCCCTAGTAGTGATAAATAGAGACAAAATTAGACAGGCCAATGCTTGAAGCTCACCTCATTCGCCTTTTATTTCTCTCCTCTCTGTGCTTCGAATATAACAAGGTTGAATTTTTCTCCTATACTCAATTTAAAAAAGCACTGCCATTGCTTAGTTGGGTTTCCGTACTTATTGATAAGTGAAGGAGCATTTGCGCTTCGTATGATTGAGTGATGGGAGACCTCAAACACTTTATACATGTTATTGCGGCATCAAAGTGCTGGTGAGCCAGTTTTTTATGCGGCGATATTTTCCCATTCATTTTAAACCATTATTGAGCTCCATTTGAGTATCCACACCTATAATCCTTTGGATCAATTTTTAAGGAGCACTTTTTCCCCTCCAAATTCCACTTTCTGTCTCACAGGAGGCTTGTTGCCCTCCTCTTCGAAAAAAAATAAAAGTAGCAGCAAAGTATATTTGTAACAGTGATTGATCGGTGCTTAACCTGTAGCTGCGAGCGTCGACCTTGTGTTATCTATCACCAGGACTTTTGGGTTGTCTAAAATCCATGGAAGATTTCTTTTATGTTGCGACAAAATATCACACATCTCTGCTATTGCCAACGAGCATTTGACAAAAGTGCCGCTCCTCAAGCGATATTCCTCATCATACTCGGCGGTGCCGCCCAAGCAACTAAATATGGGACAATGAATGCAAGCATTAGAATACCGCCCCATTAATTAACACTGGTTTTTATGTGGCGCACGTGGCCCCGGTAAATGTGATTTTTCATTAAAGTCCGTGGCTAGCATCTGAATTACCAAAAGGTGATCGTTGTAGCTCGACTACTTTCGTTTCTTTACTCGCCATAGTGTCGTGTTTTTTTTGCCTTTCACCAACTTCGATTTAGTCTTTTTCAGTATAATCTCATGTTAAAAAATTCCTTAAAGATGCTTTATAACATCATTGCACATCACCAACAATCATGGATGGGCACAAATTACCGTAATGACTTCGCCTTTGACAACACCCTACCGAAGGGCGTAATGAGTCCTAATCCACTCTATAGGTTGTTGCTCGCATGTCAAGACTACCGTGTTTCCACGCTATTTCGTCGTTTAGACCCCCGTAAATTTATGGATTTGTACTAGTTCATTCAACTGCCATAATTTACTTGTCATCATTGCGAAACCATTTAGGCTTGATGGTTGTTAAAATCTGGTTAATTTGGGTTGTATTTATCACAGCAATGTTTTTCATTTATCGCTGACCAATAAGTCTTTCGACTGTATTTTCACTGTAGGTGGTTGATACTCAGTCCTGTATTGGTCCCTTACTAATGGCGGGCTAAGCATTAACCTATCTTAAATTTTGAGACTTGATTGACACGTTTAGTCAGAAGGGCTATGTACATAAGGCTTGTTATACCATTTGGCAACGAGTTATCCCAACTTCGTTTTACCCAAGAATCACATTTGCTTAAACCTGCTCCTCATTGAAGAATAGTTGATTGACCCAGCACTTCCCAACCCAATCTTTGATTTATTTGTCAATCTGACGCATCAACCTTGTCTGTAATTGTGACGTCCCGTATTTTTGCACCTTCTCCGCCCTTTAATTGCAATCATGATGTGAAATCGCCGCGCATCGGACTACTCCCCGTGATTAGCTTTGGTTAAATTTACGTCACTCCAATAGAATTGTGTATTTTAGTTCACGACTTAA